GCCCATTGCCGGTGCTGGGGCTGGGGCTGTTGATGCTGCGAGCCTGCAGCGCGGCGAAGTAGGCTGGGCTGACGATGTCAATGCCGCAGCACAGCACGCCCATCGCCGCCGGCGTCGGCGCAAGGCGCGATGTAACGAACAGGTCGGCGCGGCGGAAATCCGCCACGACGCAGGCGCCGCAGCGGGCAAGAGAAGCATGCAGCTTCGCCCGCTGCTCCGTCTCGACGCCGACGAGAAAGACGCGTAGCGGGCACCATCGCAGCAGCAGTGCCGCGCCGTGTGTCCCGAGCAGAAGGGAGAACTCCCGCCACGCCGCGGCAGGACCGTCGGCGGGGACGCGGAATGTCTCGCCTTTTGCCAGCTCCTGTCGCGATGCGGTGCGGCGGCATAGCTGCAACTCCCTCGTAAGGACGTCGGGACCGTCATTGTTGTCCTTGCTGCCGCCGTTGGGCGAGGAGGGACACACTTCAGTGCCGTACGTAGACGTGTCTGTGACGATGATGTGCGACGATGGCGCCTCGTCATCCACGTCTTCCCCCTCCGTCTGCCGCTGCTGCGCCTCAAACGGTCGCATGACAACCTCCAATCTGAGGTGCTTGCGGCTCACGCTGGCATCGCCCTTGATGACGATGTCGCAGTCATTCTTGCCAACCGTGTACGCCTCCCCGCCCATGAGCCAGTAGCAAGCCTGGCCGTTGATGTAAACGACCCACATGGAAAAATCCCGTTTCGGCCGCTGCTCTTATCCGCAAAGGGTCGACGACCAACGTCTCTCTGTATGCGTCCGTGTGTCTTCCTTTCCTCCAGGGAGCGCTGGAAGAGGAAACGAAGGGAAAAAACAACAACGTGAAAACCAGGACACACAAGCGGCTCACCACAGACACACCACAACCAAAGCAACATTTTTTTTTTTTAATGCCACTTATCATTCCCACACAAAACTTCTTCGCATGTGCACTCACGCAGTCATTGTATTGGCTGCTGATATACCTCCTTGGTGCAGCGCCCCCTCTGCTTCCTCCTCCTCTCTCTTTCCCTTGATGCCATGATACATGACAAGCGCAACGATCACCGCGATAAATGCCGTAGCAGCAACATTAGCAATACGCCAGCCTAGAAGCAACGGATCCACCGTCTCTGCCGGGCACTCCGTCGACACTGAGAGGCAGCTGCCATCCGCAAGACATGCAGAGCTGCACTCCTGTGGCAGTTGTTCTGGTGATATTGGCGCTGACGTGTTGGGGTCATTGGTGGGGATACCTGGGAAGAAGCAAGGCCTTCGCACGTCGACGGGGTGGGTGCAGAAGACGCCGCCGCTATCGACGCAGTCAGCACAAGTAGTCTCCTGCAGGAAGCAGTCGGGAAAGCTCGCGCAGGCGCCGCTGCAGATGCAGTTGCTCGCCGGTTGGCATGTCATGTCGATGGGACACCACCGCGACGCCACATCAACCGTACACTGCGTACATGACGACACGGCTGCGTTTCCTTCCCCTGCGCTTACCAGTGGCAAGCAACATAATCCTAATAGCAGCAGCAGCAGCATCGGCGGGAGGGGCAGTCGCATCCCTATCCTTCTCTTCCACATTGTGGAGTTAACCACCTGAGACCCACCCTGCGTCCTCGCTCCCTCTGCCTAGCCTTTCCTTGTCGTCACCAGAGCCAGGGTTGAACAAAGAGGAAAACTCTGTGTGTATTTCAGTGCATGTGAATGCGCAGTATAGATATATATATATCTATATATATATATATATATATATATATGTGTGTGTTTCCATCACGCATCGTTATTGTCGGCAAGAGCAAGATCTTCGGATCACGTCACACTCAATAAAATTGAGTGTAACTCCAGTTCCAGGTGCGCTACGACAGACTGCGGAGTGCTGCTCGGGAGGCCAGTTTGTCCGCCATCTCGTTGCCGTGAATGCCGGTGTGCCCCCGCACATGGAAGAGCTGCAGCGCCCGCTGGGCCGCCACTTTCGCGGCGATGCGAGGCAGCAGGCCAAATTCCTCCACCATACGACGGGCGTAAAGCTGCTGGTGTCTCTCACGCATGTTGTGCAGTGTACCCCAGAGATCGCTGTTCAGCACCGTCGACCCGTTCGCGCATCTGAAGCCGTTCCGCACCCACCTGTGTATATACTCGTCTGCGCCCTTGATAACATACGTGCTGTCACTGTACACGCGCAGGTTGTGGCACGGCTCTGCGTTCAGTGCGGTCTCCAGCACGTGTATCACGGCGTGCAGTTCGGCGCGGTTGTTTGTCTGCGGCTCGTCAGCAGAAAGTGGGATGGAGAAGTTGCGGGAGTC